CACAAAGCTGAGCAGCGACAGGACAACCATACAGGGAGATAGTAGTAAAGGCACCTGTTTTTTCTTTGCATTCCTGTTCAATCCGGGTGGAAAGTCTTGAATTTCAAACTCCAAAGTGGTGTATGTGCAGGGAGTGTGGTTAAGATGATTCCCCTGATGGATACATGCTTGCCGCGTGAGCTCCGAGCTGGGGTTGCTGCTTGATTGGGACTCCCGGCACTCGGAGATGTCTGGCAGCCCGTTACACAGGCCAGGCTTCCCACAGCTGGGAGCAGGCATCGCCGGCTCTTCCCTCGGTCGCAGCTCAGACATGGTAATGTCCACGCAGCTGCTCTGACAGGAGCTGTAGACACTGTTGCTGCCACTGGGCCACGACAGGCTGCTGGGCCATACATCCTCCATTCCTGCACTATTCCACACACGTAATGCATATGAAAGGCTAATTCTGACCAGGGTTAATTGCTTCTTTCAGACTCTCCGAGTCGAGCGCCGGTGTTTGTCTTTCGGGGGAAAAACAAAGCCAGAAGCCCAGCAGGTTGTCTCTGGGCAGTTTATTCCTGGTCTATTGCTGACAATACTGTCCCCCCATCGCTTTATCACGACATCACAACACGCCCCCGAGAACCCAGCTGGCGATACTGCCTCTTCTCCAGATGCATATCACTGTGGAGCCCTCGCCGGCAGTAGACACCAACAATTATCCATCACACAGCTTTTGGGGACCGCCATCAAAATTAGGGAGACCAGCATTTAATGTGGAGCATTTAGAGGCTCAGAGTGGGAGGGACTATTCATCCTTGTAATGAACCCCACGGGATCTTCTCAATACCAACTCATTGAATATGTTTAGCGGACCCTGTAAGTGGATATCCAATGGCGTTAATGTGGGTTGCCATGGCGATGAACTCGTGGCTGCCCCTCTCCAATAGGAAATCAATGCCTGTCACCCTCCCAGGTATGCCACACTAATCTCCTGGGTAACAATAGGTAGCATGATAGTGCTGATTCTGATGGGAGATGATAATGAAGATTCCTGTAAGCGCCGTACAGCCCCTAACACACAGTGAGTTGGATTGATAGGCTGCAGTAGTCTGTGCCAATTATAGACAAGGCAGGGCAGGACCCAGCCTAGGAGCACCCAGGGCAGTCCCACAGGACCCGCAGTGCACAATTTAAAACCCGACCTTTCCTACTGGTTTACAGTCCCTGCTGCCTTTGGATAATTTAGCCACTAAGACCCTTTGAACTTGCTTTGTACAAATCCTTTGCATACAGCGGCCATGTGACGCCAGCTCTGCAAAGCCCAGACAGAATGTCTTGGCTCGCATGTTCATAGTAGAATGTATAACTATCACCATGTTTTCAAGATTTTGTGCTGGACTGTGAGTTTCATTGTTACTTTGTAGGCAGCCATTAGTGAAAGCCTGTTCTATTCTTTGACTTGCTTTTGGAAGGATAAATCTCATTGAAATTTTATGTAAGTCACTGGGTACATTTTGCATTTCAGAGCTTTAAAACAAAATCTGTACCACAATCAAAACTTCTATGTTCTAAATATTCATTTTCATTAATAAATTCCTGTATCATAGTGAAGAAGGAACCTTAAAAGAAGTGAAATTTTCAATGTTGGACAGTTATGATAAAGTTTGAAGCATCCATATTGTGCCATTCTAGTCTTTATGTATTTCGATGATTTCGGTCACCACAATTTGTGGGGAGTCCATATGGGTACATTTTTACATGTACCACATGGGTTTGATGCATACATCTTAATCTTTATCAAGTCATGCATTCATCACTGGGATAATTTACCACAACAAATCAAAATCCATATGCAGAAACTTTGTCATAATATGTCACTAGGGACAGACATGATTTGTGGCACTGGAACAAATGAAATTGCTGACATTCTGGCTATGGTTCAGAATTGATGAAGTCACTGGAACATTGCAGTATCTAATGCACTTAATCCTGCTTTCATCAGTGGCACTGAGAAACCAATCATTTGTTTCTAGTTGTGCATAATTGTAAATCTTTTAATTTCCCAGACCAATTACTGATTTTCGTGTGGGGAAGGTATCACATAACAGTTATCCAATGATATAACTACACTGTCCAACCCTGCATCAGATTTTGATGTCATTGTTTCTTAATGGTCCCAACATTATTCAATATTGTATCCCAGAAGGGTTTAGGCTTGGCCAGTAGCCATGTAGAAAAGGCAGTGTCTGCACTGAAAACTAAAATGCAGATAGAGTTTATTCCCAATTGGTATATAGTACTGTGACACGAAACAGCAAAAATTAGACTGGGCTATGCATATATTATGCTTTCTCCAGCACCACGTAAAGTGTACAGATTCACGGTTCAACAGTCACAGCTTTGTGAGCATGCAGACGTGCCAATACTAAATATCACTACTTGTAATTACGTAATACACCATGTACATTTGAAATTACTAATCCACAGTAGTAAAATAGTATAAAGTACCATATGAAGATATTTATTGAACAAGGTACTGTATCAAGATATACGTGATTGTATATTCAATATAGAATTAATGGCTGCATTAAAACTAATATGATAAATCAAGGAGCTTTAAATTCATAAATATACGATATCGCATTATCAAGAAAGATACAGATGTTGGTCCATGAAATCTTGTCACTAATAAATTGTACTTTCACTATCAGTAATAACTTCCAGGAATTGGAATGAATCATAAAGAAATGAATGGCCCCTGCTGGAAAGATCCATTATCAACATTTTGGAATTGTGATGTGAGTTTTACTGATTTGCTCGCTCTCCCTGATTACTTGCATGTAAATGTTTTAAAAGATATTGATATTATACTGGCTTCTGTATTCTTCTGTCACATTTGCAAAATTTTCCCATTCAAGATTTATGTCCACAAAGGGATATGCTCATATCCATAAATCACCTAGTTTGTATAATTAGGAGATAACTTAATCAAATAATGATTTGCTTTTGAACTTCTCACCTCTGCAGAGCTTACTATTTTACATACAAGTAAACAAGTCAAAGTGTAACGGGGCATAGTACATGTACAAGGTAGCCTATACTAAAGAAATGGTCTAGAAATGGTGCGTGAAATGTTCTATAATAGTTAGCAGTAATAGTGTGGTCTGCATTGCTATGAAATCCTTTTTTTGGCAAATATTCACACTGCATCATAAAAACTGTTGGGAAATCTGTAACCTTTAGAGGAAACTTCAGAAGCCAAACGAAGAGAACTGATCAGTGTTAACCATCCAGTCTTCAAAATGAGCATTGCTGCAAAGTATCTGTTCAAATTTCACACATGATTTGGCACTTATATGATAAATAATATGATAACAACAACAGTAGGAACATGCAGTCCCAATGAAGCTTAGCTATTGTGAAAGTTGCCATGCTGAGGTAAGTCCCCATCCCTGGTGATGTTATAACTTCTATCTGACAACAACAGTGTGATGTCTAGCTGTAATTGGTCCGCTTTGTCATCACCTGAAAGTCACACTTCCCATTATGTTCTCAGCAGACATATAAAAGATTGTTAGTTCTGCAGGTAGCTGATCCAATTTTAGATCTAATGAGCTCCCCATGGAGAGAAGGACACTTCTTTGGTTGTTTTCTACATTCATTGTACAGTTCTTCCTGCATATTGGAGGACCAGAATTAAAATGCCTTTCATTCCATATTGGGCGATGCACCATGTTTTTTGAGGAGAAAGGAAAGTGTTATGTTGGGATTCCTTGGCTAACATTGTGTGAACTCCCATAGCAAAATGCTGCAGGGCCATCTTTCTAACCTGAGTGGAGTCACTACAGATGTTAACTGCTGCAAATCAGCAAAAAACACAGCCTGCAGTCATTCCACACCGTCCTGACGTCATCTTGCCGGTCTTCGTTACTCAAAATGTCCCCCTGACGTCATGTGTGCCACTGTATCCATGGCAACGCAAATTGTCCAATTAGTCGTATATCCAGGAAGATGGATGCAGGATGATGTAATCAGTGGAGAACTCTTATATCTTCATCAGTCTGGACCACCATTCCTCACTCCATCATCCCTGTACTTTGTCATCAAAACAACACCATTAGTACACTTTTGTATCAGTTTTTGGATCAGTTTTTCTTATGAAAGATACGCTCTCAAACACGTACAGGAACAGAGATTCAGACCATATGCTTGATGGGTAATTTCGCACCATTAGCAAATGATTATGACTGTAAATACAATGTAAGGACCTGCTAACTGATGAACGATAGGATTGATAGAGAGAGAAAGAATTGGGTCAGGCTGCAGCATGCATACCCAGTAAGGAAAGAAGGACTGGTGAGATTTGAAGTGATCTCCCTACTATTCCACACTGTTGCAGCAAACCTGTAACAAACAAATGTTAACCCACAAAAGAATAAAAAGATAGTATCATTTACTATAATTCAAACATGATCTGGCTAGTTTTGTTTTGTTTTGTTTTTTTACAAAATTTAGCTACGAGAATAAGGGGTGTCTGAACTGTGCAGATGCAGATATACTGACTTACATGCTATCGTGCCTTTCATGTGATACAAATTTGTCACATTAGGATCACATTACTGTAGTAATTTCTATAATGGCAAAAACTTTTGAAAAAAGATTTGGATATTTGGTCATTTTGCATGAGGTACCTACATTGTGAGGTACCTACATTTAACCTTCTCCCTGCCGCCTATCTCTGTTACCAATACAAAGTGCCATTTTGAAGCTTTATTGCAATAGTTTTATGCCCTGCCACTATAGCATAGTATAACAGAGTAGAACTTATGTATTACATGTAGGCCCTGCGTCAGTCTTTCTGTTGTTGTCAATTTGTCTGTATCTGAAGAGGAATCCCATGCACGTACATGTAAGTAAAGAACTCTCACGAAGCAGTTTATTGGTTATGCCATGCAGATACAGAAAGAATCATCGAGTATGACATTGAAGCTAACCGAAGCTGTTTTTTCCTCCCACAGAGGACCGACACTCATCTGCTGGCTCAGTTTTACTATCTGGATGAGGAGCTGAACACTGTTGCCGCTGAGCTGGATAGTTTTGACGGGAGGAAGGACCCAGAACGATGCACACTACTGGTCAACCAGCTGCGGGCCTGCCAGGACAAGGTACCATGTCACCAGCATGTCATTATTCATTTAATTTTTTAATCTTAAAACTGTTATCTTGTATTTATGTTACACATCCTCAAACTGCAATTAATAGAGGCCAACTTGAAACAGCAATCTGAGCCATCACCCATCTACATGTAAAAGTCCACAATCTAGAGAGTTTGAACTGCTGCTCAAGGCCTAGTCACATTCATCATATGATTGCCATGAGATCGCAAACTGAGGACAATCTTGGGATCATAGTTGTGCATGTGTTGTACAAATTTCAGCTGTCTTGTTATCAAAATGGTTGTCATAGAGCCTTGTTGGCCGTTGATTATGAAATATCCTTCTTGAAAAGTCTATCATATCAAAATCGTACAACCAATGTGACCACACAGTAAATCATTCCTACAGTACCTCACATTCTTTTGACAAGATTTTGTAAAGACTTCGCCATCAAAAAGATGTGAGATAAAGACTTAGTTGCAGTTCAAATGGACCAGGTTTTAGACTTAAGGTACCTTCAAAAGAACGCAAGATAAAAATGACTTTATCATTTCACATTCCTTTTATGGCAAGGTGATTGACATCTTGGCTTTGCCATTAAAAGAATTTGAGGTAAAGATAATTTAGCTGCTGTCTTTGTGGCGTACATCAAAAGGAGAATATTTTCAGCTATCAATCTAAAATATATAGCTCCTGCTATTCACTTTGACATAGAAAAGCTAGAAGTGACTTGAGGTTAGGGATAAAATACAGTTACAATATTTTAGTAATGCTGCATTGCAACCGCAGCAGCACCCCAAATCCACTTACTGCTCTTAAAAAACATAGCTGCAGGAGTTATTATTCCCCGTGCTATCTTCCTGTGGTTGGTTTGAATGGGAGAGCACGCTGCCTTCCCTGGAAGATTCGTAACGTGCTTGTGTTAAAGGTGCAGAAGGCTTTAAAATCGATCTCTTTTGCTGGGAGGAATCATAAATACACATTCATCAAGATGCGTCAAGAGCCGTAAGCTTTCCAAAGCAGTGGAAGGGCTAATTGGTGCAGGCAGAACATCGGCCTGGTGGGAGTATGCAATAGCTCACAATGGCTGTGCTCTGCTTCCTCTGTACCTCTATGGGTCCAAGGAGACTACAACCCATACAGTTAAGCTGGATTTAGAAAAATTTACTCTAAACACAGATACTTTTGCGGTAGTTTTATTATCACAGTTTTCACTTTGATCTCTTACCGCAAAATCATATCAATGCAATATATGTTTATACTGTTCTATCGTACTTCAGAAGCACTTTAACCACAAACTTCCAACACCAACAAAAACCTTCTTTTTTCTCCTACATTGAAATAAATGTAATATAACACAAAAATACATTTACAGTAAGCTGTTAGACTCTTGCTTCTTGATTTGTAAAAACTCACCTACAAATGTAATTGTATGTCCATGTTGTTTTTCAATTTCAATTCTAGCAATAAGACCATATGTGTCTATTTTGTTACTTTTAGGTTTCTGCTTGCATGTATCACCTATGTGCTGTTCAGATATTTTCTGCACATCTCTCATCCCATGTTTAACACACCCTTGCCAGTTGTAACACATCCATGCATAAATTACCATGAGCACATTATGCCCGCTCCCAAACCATCAAGACTTTGACTGCATGTACTACCCATGCATGCCGTGTGGAAAGCTTTTTGACACGTACCTTTTAATTGATCTTGGCCTAGTCTTTGTTGAAGCATGCTAATCAATTCAGCAACTAATTGCTGTTGTGTATTACTGATAGAATTATGCAGATAGGTGCCTTCATTTCTCGCATAGATATGTGGAAAAAACAACTTTCGCATGTGCAATTTAGCCAGAGCTTTAGTCGTCCTTGGTGCTGAAAAGTAGGCTGTTGTTGTATATTTTCTTTGACAGTGGAAATCTGACGTAAGTCAGTCTCCCAAATAAACATTGGTGCTTTGTTTTCTCCTAATTTGTTAGGAGTCATACTGAAATTGCCAAGTATACAAGAATTGTAATATATTCAAATCTCAGAACACTAAACTCAAGCAAGCAGGCTGTCTTGCGGATAGTGTTAGGACACTAAAATTGACACTTTAACAGTTTGATATTATATGATATCCTGAATGGTTCAAAAATAGTATGGAACATTTCCAAGAGTCCCATGTGTGCTGTCTTTTCAAAGATGGACTAGGGGGCCTTAATAGCTGTGTAAATGTCAGATGATGATGCTAATTTTGAAATGGTGTGACAAAGGTCATGTGGATTTAGGACTGATTTAGTAAACTTGCATAAATTGTGTTAATGCAGATCTAAAGCTGTTCCAGTACAGGTACAGGTCTGTATACCTGAACCCTTTACCTGATGTTGCATTTAGGTACTCAGCACTAGGCACAATGAATTGCACCAACCTTACCCTTGTGGATCAAATAGCCACAGGTATTGCAACATGCAGGATGGAAGTAGAAAGTACAGAGCAATGGCACAGTGCCAAGTTTGGAACTAAATAACAGAAAAGATCAAAGTTAGACATAGAATAATGTTGCTAGCATAATTTTAGATTTTATGAACACTAATCACAGTATGAGAAAGTCAAGATTTGCCAGCAAGTGTAGAATATTTCCTCAACGTCCTACACGAAGATACCATATTTCATGAAGTGATAGAAAGTATCATGATATCAATTTAATCCAAGTCATCTATCATCAGATTTTCTTATCATTTAGGTTTTTGATCCTTAAGGGGGAAAAAATGAAAAATTGGGAAACTGTAAAATCAACATATTCCCTCTTCCCTTGTAGGATAGGGAAATATGATTGAAGAGACAAGGTTCTCCTAGTCGGATATTGTGTGAGATTTGTCTCCATGATAGAAGCTTAGAGAGAGAGGAGCAAATCCTCTGGCTTTGTTTCACCTTCAAGGCACTGTAAATTCCTGTGTACCAAAGACTCAGATACCATCACTGCCTCAGTTGTATGTTAGTTCTGAGCGCCCGAGGCCAGCCACAGGTGAAGGGCTGTCCGTGGAAATTGGAAGCAAGCAATTACCCGAGGGTAGATCCCTTAACATGGGCTATTAAAGGAACACTTAAATATCCCCGCCACAGAGTGTGCAAAGGTACAGCAGTGTGTTCAGATCCTTGTAATATATCTTGGTAATCCCTGCCTATCAGATGGCAGGGCCATGGAAACAAAGTGTGATTGGATAGGTCCAATGAAGGGATAGATAGGGAACAGATAAGGACACCTCCAGATGGAGTAGACAGAGCCCTGTGAAACAGTAGCAGAATTACTAGCACAGAGGAAAGCTCTGTTTTTAGGGGCCTGGGCCATACAAATTTGATATGTTGTTCCTCAGGCTTTTGCAGGAAATCACTGATGCAGGCGATAGCCACAAATACTGCCATAGGAACTGCAAGGTCAATATACTAGGCTGGTTTATAATTCTAATAAATGAATTTTAAACTTTTAACCAAATCATTGTATTGATAAATGCATTCAATTTTGGATAAACTTTAACAACTAAGAAGACAAGGACTTTATTCAACTGGTAATGTCCAAATATGAGGAGTTTAGTGTCAATTTAGAACTTTCAAATCAGAAAAAATGAAGCAGGTGAATCTGAGAACCAAGAAATTATTGGTATGGCCATAGTGGTAATTTCAAAGACTTAACTGTACATCTACAAATGTATGATACGTATTCATGATCTTTCTGGATTTTACATAGTTAATGAGCTGTAACTCACCATAACGAAACGTAAGCAGGTGAGAAACTCTATGGTTGTGTAAGAAGAAAATTCTATATCCTATGTAACACACCATATTAAAAACTGTGTAGCACACTAAAAGGCACTTTGCATTCCATGTTTCAAGTCCTCAAGCATTAGTTCTGACACTTTCTATCCTTCATTTGTCTCCTGTTTGGGGTTGTTCACGGTGTTGTCAGTTGGGATCATATAATGTCCCCAATCAATTCTACCACAGCTTTGCCTCTGATCTTTGCCTAGCTTGTTGAATCACTATGACACACTTCTTAGCTCAACCATGACCGAGTGTTTGATCATCAGCAGATGAAAGCTTTCAGGCAGTCATGCATCACTGGTGTTGTTTTTTATGATGTATCCTTACTGTGATGAACTTTTCAACAACATTGTGGAACAATCAACATTTGGAGAGGAAATATACAAAGAAAAAATGTGTTAGAAGATGACATCAGCCAGGATCAGGCATAGTATTTTTTGTATTGTACATCTACGAGCAATAGACATACATTTTGTAGATTTTTATCCTGACATCATAATTTTTTTAAATTTTTTTTGGTGTCAACCATGCATATATTAACCTCTTAACAGGATATCCCCACCCAAATTAGGTGAACTTTTTTATTTGGAAAATGATCAGTGTAGAATTTTGCTTTGCTGCAATTTAACGAAACTGTCTAAAACATAACAATATAACAGTCCTTTTAATGTGATGGAGGTAACTGTTTACATGTAGATTTTAGCATTTTGAAGTGACAAGCAAATTAGACATTCAAAAATATTTTTCCAGTCACAATCTGCAAAAAGAAAGAATACATGCAACCTGATTCCATCTTGTATGATACCCATTCCACATTACTTTTAATACCTCCAAAATCAGTTTATATGTATGTTTGTCCATGTAGAATGGGAGGTCAAGGGTCAGACACAGTGTATGGGGTAAACTTGGAAGTCTCCAGAATCTGACCTGGAGCCAGCTGGAATTAGAGGTCGTGTATGAGGAATTCAGGATTGCATGGGCAACCCTCCAACCCTGCATAGTTTCTCTCCTAGTCCCCATTAAAGTATGTCATGCAATCTTCTCTATGGTTCCCATAGAGAAGATTGCATTCACATAAAAACAAACAACTTAAAATACTTCTCGGAAGTCTGATATCGCTGATTTTAAATCTTATATCACTGAGTTTGTAATTGTAGGAAAAGATTCACAGGTAAATTGAAATGTACATTTACACCAAATGTGCCACAAGTGCCAAGCATGGCTGCTAAGATGAGGCAGACAGCAAAATCTCTGAGACAAAAGTGCTGCCGTCTGTGTTCATGCAGGATCTGGCGATTTTGGGGCTTTACAATGGCAGCACAGTATCATGCCTACTGTCTGGCAGAATTCAGGGCAACTCAGTGGATGTCATCCATAAAACCAACTTGGTATGGCCTAGACTAGACTAGCAGGGTTTACTGGCATTAGTTCAGGCTGCAATCAATAAAATTGGTGGCGGCATATTCTTGGTTGCCTTGAACTCATGGTATTTTCCTCCTGTTTGACTTTGATAAGGCCAGCCTTCCCCAGTCTCTGATCTGTGTCAGTCTTGGCCATCTTTAATTCACAGATTTCCCACTCTGTACCGCAACATGATGAAACAGAAACATTTCCGGAGCCGAGAGTCATTCACCATGTTTAACCCTACGGTGCTTGTTAGGTGGAAAAGGTGACCTCTAATGACCTGCTTAGGTCAGGGCTCACACATGTAAGTACCTGGTGCACTTGAAATTCCAGTCCTTCGGTGCCCTGTTGATCACTCAAAATTGGAGAGAGAGGACGTCCTGTTTTCAGAACGATCTATCAGGCATTCCTAGCAGGGAGTGCATCTACTGACTAGTAGATTAATGGAAGCTGTCATCTGGAACCATCTGTCATTTCTAGCCTGTAAACTCTAATCAAGGTCACGTCTAACTGGGAAGTGTCACTCAAAAATATGTCCTAATGGGCCACAGTTGCCAAACTTCAATAAAAGTTGCGTCCCAGCAGAGTAATTAAGTAGTGATTTGACAGGTACATGTTCATGAACACTGTCTCTTGCGAATGTCAAACTTTTACAGGCATTTTAGAGGATAAAGAACTTGGTTATTATATTCATGCCCAAGTTGGCAGAGATGTAAATTTACTTAATATAAATGTACCTTTTGGTACAGCTATTGAGTTTACCAATTTCTTCATGAAAGTGGCAAAAACAGTAGAAAATTCATTATTTTGCAATTGCTGAATTCTTTTCTAAAAGCTGGGTATTTAAAAAAGGGGTCAGCTGTGATTGGTTGATGTTGATGAGTCCATGTTAGACACTATGCTGTTACAGTAGTTTCTGCACATCTGCCAAACAAATTTCATCTACAGGTTTCATTATAACACCAATGATGACATGGGAGGCATCAATTTGTACCCATTACCTTTCCTAATGGAACTGGAGTTCTACAGTTTCTGGATGTTAATCAACTTGGACCAAATTTGACCTGCAAGTCTCCACTTGGCTCCACTGTTGGCAGGGGAGGCTTTTTTCACATCAATTTGTGCCTATTGCCTTTCCTGACAAATTAGATTGAAAGATTACTCCTTAAAGTCACCACTTTGAGTACTATTACATGTAAATCAAGCCCTGTTTCAAATCTGCTAGAAATAGTTTTGTAAATTCTTGCTATATTCAATGTGAGTGACTACTATGGTTTTGTATTTTGCTAATGGCACCCTACCAACAGGTAACTGCAAACTTCCTACAGTAACTGGCTCTTTCCCAGCTTCTTGGACCCCTTTTCCTGTGTCTGACCTCCTGTGGTCCATAAGGAGGAAACACCCCTCCCACACACCTTCAACTCCTGCAAAAGAATTGAAACAATATAATGGACGAATAGACACACAAATCCACAGCTCAACCACTGCAAACAATACCTCCATACCTGGAGGTACAACAATACTGAAATAGATTTATAATTCTAGCTGCATCTAGTGTATACACAATGAGTGTCTAGTAAATCTACCTTTATTACCTTGACATTTCTGCTGCAGGTTTTGGGGGTCATTATGCTGATTATGGATGACTGTCTGGACGCGGACAGAGCCAGTCGAGATTACCGGGTCAAATTTCCAGATGACGTCCTACAAGACAACCTGCCTGGGCAACTCTGGTTTGGAGCTGAGGTAAGATACAATCAGTTTGATCAGATATAAAGGTAAATGTTTAGGTTACACCTTGCAGATTTCCTACTTATACTTTTCTTTCTTGTTATTTTTGAAACAAGGTAAAGGGTTAACTTTTATTGTCTACTGTTCAACTTTAATCAATGTAAAAAAAAAAATCAACCAGACACTAATGTAAGACCATTGGAGTTGCAATTAGAAAGCTATAATTTGCACCTTTGTACAAAGTGGTAAAGAGTAGGGCAATCCTTAGGTATCGTACTTATCATCAGCTTTGAGTTACCAACATTTGAGCCCCCCTCCCCCAAAATGGAGATTTTACAGGTGATCTGCAGTAGCCCAAGGTGAGGTTTGTACGTGGATCCATCATGGTGATGTAATCTTGTTATGCCCTTGTTATTTGAGTCTGCAGTAGACTTTTAGCTTGCCAGAGGAGGGCGTGTGGCTGTGTGCAGTAAGTGCACCCTGAATTGTAGGGGGAGAATGAAGCTTTTATGGCAACTTGCACAGAGTCCATGCTTTTAAGGCAATTTGAATAATTGCCTTTACTTGCTGCAATTGTGTAGCTGGCAGTGCAAAGTCGTGAAGAGAATCAATTGAACTGCTCAGGACTGTTCAACTGTCTCACTTCCATAGTTAACAGTTCTATTTAGCTTCAAGGATTCAAGAATTGAGAACAGTGTTTCTGCCAAATATGCACAATTTTCACAAAAACATAACAAACTTGCAAAATCATCAATTAGAATTTACCCCATTCATCTGCAGTTCAGCATACCTCAATATACTGTATATATATTTTAAAATATGTTAAAACAATATTAAAACGTATAAATTCCAAAATGTGAAAGGAATTTTGCTGGTCCTCACTTTGTTCAACTAATACTGATGACCCCATTTTAGAATAGACCATTCCATAACATGCATGTAGAATGCAACTGCAAGTACATGAGGTTGAAGACATGCAGCCACTCTCTCATTGGTCAAACTGCTAATTGCTCTCATTGGTTGAACTTGGCAGGATATAGGAGATAGAAGACTACTTTCTATATTAAATATTAATCATTCATCATGTACACAGTTTTGTTATTTGTTAAATGTGAGAAAAGACTTTGATTTTGCATAATGAAACAGCACAGCTTTTGGGTTCCATACATATTTAAAAGATGTTAAAAGTCAATGTCCTGTTTATGAATGTAGCATCCACGTATCAAGCTTATCGGATCAAGTACAGATATCAGTGTGGAATATATGGCAATAATTGTTGCCATATAGATACATGTACATGGCATGAGGATATTCATTGTGCCATAATGTCTTGTCAGTATTTTCCCTGCCTGTCAGTTATCCATTTTCTCTGGTGCATTTGAGAAGAATGTGGCCGTCAAGGTCACCCCTGTGATCCCAAAAGAACTCTGATGAACATGCAGGTCGGGGCTCAGGTTAAGACTAGAGCGTGCCGCAATTTATTCACAGCATCATAATGTCTGGGATTTCATCTCCCCTCAAAGTCATAGGCTTTTAAGGCAAAGTCACCTTCATATTGTGGAAACAAACTAAGTGACTCCATGGAGCAGGCATGGTTTCGGGGTTATGTGAAAAGGGAAACTCTGTAAATGGGAAGTAGTAAATCTAACAATAACTCAAATTTTAGAACATTGGATATGTTTTTAAAGGTCACTTTGGTCATCAGTCGTCAAATAATTTTGCTGTCATTACTTTTTAAGCAACCTGTGACAAATCAACTGCCAACAAAGATCTAAGACAGCCTTTTTGGTAACAAGATAGCTGAATCTTACAATTGTATGACAAGCACAACAGTCCCAAGAATACCTTATAAAGTTTGCATATTATTGTACAGCAAATGTGATTGGGCGTTTAGGTTGGATATAATTGACTGCAACTTTTGCACAATCCATCTTTTGATTCTCCGGTAATTCAAGTTGGTATGGAGTAGTTTTGCAATGCACAAAGTCACAAAGTAAACCATTTCCATTTGTAAACAACTCTTTCTGCAACTGTAACAGGAACAATTACTTTTAAAGATCTTTGTTATTACATGTACCTGCATGAGTTGTAAATGAAAGTCTTAAAACCTGTTTATCCTAATATTATGTCCTATATCATGTTATGAATAATGATACAGCTGCCTCATTTAGACAAAAATTTTGTCTAGGCACGCTTTTCTTCAAGACTATGCATGTTACTACATTTGTCATTTTATAATAAAATTAGTGAATGGTGATTGTGTTTAGAAGGCCATGTGGTATACTTTGATTGCTAGTGATTCAGAAATCTCTAAAATTTACTTTTCCCAGCCTTGTACAAATTATTTACATCTGCTACTCCACAGGTCTGGAGTAATCCCTACAACATTTCTACAAATTATAGTAAATATGCACATTTTTGCATATAAAAAACTGTTGTTGAATGATTGTTGTTACCACAGTGCCTTGCTGCCGGCTCCACCATCATGAATCGGGAGCTGGAGAGTGCCGCCATGCGACCACTCGCCAAGGACCTGACCAAGTCTCTGGAAAACATGAGGGCTGTACTGAGGGACCAGTGTCTGAGGAATGTCAACTCTTACTCAGGGAAGGTCAGTAGAAGTTCTGCAGTTTTATAAAGTCTTAGCAGGCTTATTCTGATTGTAGATCAAATATTTGACATATTGTGTTGTTTTCTGTATATGCTACTTACTTACACCACTCCTGCACACTTTCCTGATTTCTAGATTTTGTTGATACTGTAGCTGACATTACATCACTCAATCAATGAATAATCTGCAGTTACATGTATCACCAGAATGTTCTATTTTAGGCGCAAGACCTCTACAATTGTAGTTGGCACTCATGACCACTAACCCTCTATGTGTCACACTGCATGGTGGGAAATTTCTGTCTATTCATACATGCATTCAAATAGATTCTCCAAAATACTGTTTACTGGTATATTGTAAAAAGTTAAAAGCAGAAGGAGAACATCCTACACATACGTAATAAAATGAACTGCAGTGTGGTATTGTACTTGTAGTTATAATTATACATGCATGTATCTGGTGTAGGTGGGTGCCATGCCATAGCCTGGGTGCCATCCTGTATGGCGGGCTCCCATACTTGAGCCCCGGCATACAAACAGGATGGCACCCAGGCTATGGCATGCCATCATCGTGAAGAAAAATAGACAGCTAAGCTTAAGCTCAGTCGCTCTTGACAGGCTCTGAGCATTGAGTAATGCTCCCCCAATCACAGCCTGCACTGGGCCCTCAGCAGACCTTTCTGTGTTCTCACAAGTGCGTTATCAACTCTTCCATCTTGATTAGCAAAGTGAAAGAATCAATACCTGGCCCATTAAATGCCCACACATCAGCAGCTCTTTCTTGGCAGACAGCGCTTACTCTTCCTCAAAGTCCTTATCTACGTGAGCGCTGTGATGAGGGTTTCTGATGGAGTGTGTTCGCTACGGCATGATGTGTCTTTTCTCGGCTTGTCAATGTTACAAACAAGCTCAGTTTGATGGCTCTTTACTGGTGAAATTGTTCAGTCTGAGATTTTTTTATGCGTATGTCCATAATGCATGGTTGATATTTTACACAGTCTAACTTGTTTGCTTTCACCTTAGCATGACCCTTGCTGGATTCAATGCTCCTAGTCAGACTTTTTGCCAGTATAAAATATGAAATATAAGTGATATTAAACTTTTTGTCACCCATTTGCAAGTTTTACCCACAAATCTTTTTCTGACAGTAATAAGCTGATTCAACTTTCAACTGTGTCAGTTTTGAAGGATAGTAAAAAGTACTGACTTACATCCTTTTTGTACTCTGCTGTGCAAGTGTTGATCGTAATTTTTCAGAAAGCCTTTGCATAGCTGTATTTAGCACTGGGCATCTGCTTCAAATAAGATTTTGGACTGATTATCTACCTTCTTCAGAAAGTTTGAGAATTGGCTACAGGATGGAAGTCATTCGATATTCACTTCAGTTGTCAAACACTTAAAAGAAGCTGCATGATTTTGATCTTGTTTGTACTGTCCATGGTGCTGATTTTAGTGATGTTGTGCAGGGATAGACCAGTCTGTCATCTTTTACAGTGACTACCACCTGCACAGGAAACTTAAGCTAAATAAGTCATATTTTTAGCCAGAGATGTCTTTGCATAGACTCAGTTCAATGTTTTTACCTAGCCTCAAAACTGCTTTTTTTTTTAAACTAAGTTTGACAAAAGTCAATTGATATCAATATTGAATGACTGTATGATTGCTCACATGCCTTTCAAATCAAATTGAAACAGTACAGTTCACATCTCTGAGTGACCTCTATTTCATTTACTACATTTCAGAAATTAGAATTCTGTCTCAAAACAGCTCTTTCTTATCTATTACTGAATGTCATTTTCTCTTCAAAGCCATTGCAGGGGAGGCTGAGCGTCAGAGATGACGTCAACAGCCCCACAAATATCTTCCTCATACATGTATCTTTATCATTGCAGATTAAGGAGTCTCTGCGTCTGTTTGACCGCTTGTTTGCAGAGTTTGAGTTCAGCTATGTGAGTGCCATGGTTCCCGTCAAGACTGCTAAGGAATATGACATGATGCAGGATGTCATTGTGCTCTTCTCTGAGACGGTGCAAAGGTACGTCATCCAGAAATTGTAAAAAAGGAATTTTACCCATTAACCTTTCTCTTATTTTTCAAGAAAAAGTGAAGACAAAGTTCCGGTCTGAAGACTTTTATCGTGTGTCCATGACGTCGACACCATAAAAGTTGTATATGAATGTAAAAAAGAACAGTAAAACCTGCTACAGAATACCAGCCTTCAAATAAGATATTCTCCCATTGTCATTGGCAAGTGGCACTCCATCAAAGAACAAATGTACTATGTTTTTCAACTTTTTGTATGTTGAGGGGAAATTTTGTTTGGTGACTCTCTGGCGCTGTTCACAGAACTGCTGCAACTGTACTGTCTTAGTTCAAGACATATCTAAAAGAAAAGTGTTCCCATCAATGCAAAAGTATCAGGACTTAGACATTACTAAAATCCTGAATGATCCACCTTAAACTGCAACCAACACATGTGAAGATTACCAATACACCTAATGGATTTCAAGTCTGGTAATTGCAAAGGTGTAGCAAAGGAGTACTTAGGGATGATTACACCCACATTCTATCATTACCACGGCAGAGAATCGTCATGAGAGGATCATCTTTCTCACCTGTATCTTGCTATCAGTACTCCAATATCATCCTTGCAGCCTCAGCAGACACATTTTGGTACAAAGTAGTCATTAGGATTGGGCATGGTGTTGTGCATTTGGAGGTCTCTTTCTGAGAATAGTTTTGATTTTTCTTCTGGTAAATGCTAAGTTTTAAGCTGATGTTAACATTGACCAACTTACATTACTTTTGATCATAAAATGAGGAATATGAAGCATGTTTTGTACTGGCACATATTTAATATAGATTATGTACTAGATATGTACATGTAATGTAGTTTCTGTTCAGTTTTGAGTGGGATTTCAGCTATTTTAAGCAAAGTGTAATTTGATGGCAGCATTTTGGAATGGTTTTATGACATTTACGCAGTTCTTGCCAAGTGTAGGATACAATTACGAATATCCTCAGGATACTACTTAACACATTTACTGTTCTATTTCTATAAGTGTTTCAAAATTTGTGTCACAGTTTGTAGGGATCAAAATATAGATATTTTGTTAAGCCTTTTGATATCTTTGTATTTTTTTCAGCATGTCAGTTTCAGTAGCACTGATAGATTGGATAGAAGCTATTCAAATTATTTTTTCATTACTTTTGGGTCCAAGGGAGGCTGACTGATAGGTTAAGGTGTAATGAATTTGACGAGGCCTGCAACTTGTTGGCAGATCTGCGATGTGTGCACTTATCCAAAAATGAGGTGATTTCCGAATTTGGCTGTTTAAGCAAATTTGATTGTTTCAGTTTCCCATGTTGCAATGGGTTGTCGCCACCTACACGAGGTCAGCATCACCAGTAAGAAAACAACGCAAAGGCCTGACGTCATCTTCATCCATCAATGTATCAGCTTTCATTTGCAGTAAATGAAGGGCACGGGATCAATCCACTGCCCCAATGGTGGTGGTGATTTACAGCAAGCAATTTCCAGGGAATTGAGAAGTAGGATACTATTGATCGATTGGAAGAAAACTACTTCATTTAACACCTTTTCCTGGAAGAAGATCCATGCTAAAATGCACATATAATGTCTGTAGGCTGAAGGGGACTTTAGAAAACCTGACTTCGTATACCTGTAAGAGTGGCATCGATTTAGCATGCTGCTGATGCATCAATCAAAATTTTAGAGGTAGCTAGATAAAAATTACATAGTTTAAAGTTGAGAAAATTTTGATATTGTATTTGATGGCTTGTGAACTGAAGTTACAGCATTTTGACTTGCTAGTCAGTGTTTGGTAATTGTTTATCATTGTCTGTGCTTACTGACAGATTTTGTCCGATTATTTTTGAAATGGCAGGCTGAAAACTGTCAAAACATGTTGATGTACTTGATAACAAAATATTACTGGTGTTTCTGACAATTACAAGTAAACATAGTGTGTGTGATTAGAAAATTGCTATGAAAAGTTAAAAGGAAGCTGATTACTAATTTCACTTAATGCTCCATCCTGCATTCTTGGTGGTCTCTTCTTAGTGAATTTGTCTGTTGTTAGTCATCAAGGTTCCCCCAGGAAATCAAACAAAGTATAACATTATGTGCATCAAGCCTTAACCTTCGTTAAATTGTACTCAGAACTCCTGGTGACAGTATTATGGTTTGTAGCTGAGCTCTAGACACTCACAAGTATCCACATGTAGGCCATTAAGAAAGCAGTGCACTCAGTGCCTTAATGCGAGTCAACCCCACACAGAGTCATGTGGTAGTTGAAGCCAAAGGGTGTTGGGGCAAACTATCTAGTATTCCTACTGCATCTTGTAGTCTTGCTAAGAAACCGCGCCCAAGCTTTCGTGATTTGGAACCAGGCCTGTTGACATGTGCTGGTAAATTTGCTATCGATTGAAGCCAAGAAGATTCGGTCATGTGTATCCTTGCTGTATATTGCGATGTTTGTTATGTACTAAGATTTTTGCAATCTTTTCTTGACCTACATGTGCTCGAGCCGTGACACATAAACACGTCACGAGCGGAGATTGGAGATGGCCAGATATCCTAATCTCCAACCCATTTCTTTCTTACAAGTATTTTTCATCCTAAGACATGTGATTCATCATCGTTGGAGGAAATTAAAAGGATCCCTGTAATTACATGCTTTGCCTTTTTTTGTGCCAGTTCATTGGCTGTGATATGAATTACTGAACCACACCTAGCGGTTCATTATGAGATGCCCTGGATTCTTTAACCCTCTCCCTGCCGCCTAGCCCCAGAACCAATACCAATTTCATGCTAAACGGCTACCTTAGCCAGCTATAGGTTCATACAGTAGTCGTGTCCAGTCTTTGATTATACTACTGCAGGGGGTCCCTGACACGGGTGGGCAGCAGTCAGCTATGCTTCACGCCACATTTCCAAGTAGCTCTGTCCAGTGGGTCCACACTGGCATGGTCAGACTCATACAAACATGGAAAAAAATTGATGGATTTGTATAATTTATTATTGTGTTATAATGTAAAATTGCTCAAAGGTATATTGCATTTTAAGGCTGATGTAGGGAACTAACTTAGAAGCGATTAAAAAGACACGAATTTGACAGTAACCTTGAGCTCCCACTAGTATTTTTTTGTGTAAAATGGCCTGAGATACCTATCCCACATCAGGGCTTGAAATACACAGTGACTGTACATATTTGAAAATACATTGTACATCTTAGACTATATGCAGCTGCACCTAAGGCCACACCAATTTAATTTGTTGGTTCTCGGATTCGCCTCTTCGTTTTTTTCTGATTTGCAAAAAAAAATTTAAGATTCTGGTCCTGAATCAACTGAAAAATGCTCATGTTTTGCCCCCAACAGTTGAGGAAAGTCCTTTTCTTCCTAGTTGTTACAGTTTTCCCATCTATCATTGCAGTGGTTTGATTAAAAGTTCAAAATTCAATGTTTAAATTTAACCCAGCCTTTTGTGTTGACTTCATGGCTCATTTTGTAGCATTTAAGCCTATAATAGGATGCCTAGACCTGTTTTTATTTTTATTTTTTTCGCCCTGTCGCTTCATATTTTTTCTGAAAAAATCCGAGAACCAACAAATTAAATTGGTGTGGCCTAAACTAAAAATTCACCTACACAGAAAAAAAATTAGGTGCAAAACAACAACAGAAGTAAAGTTAGACTGTTTTGTGCATCCAGTTTTTTTTTATGTTGGGTGCACCAGTGCACCAATTCCCAAAAATGAATTTCAAGCCCTGGTACATGTATGCACCCAGTATTTCAAGTCCTGCACAATGCATTTCCAATTTTCCTTGCCATCATGATTGTTTTTTTCCTTATGAATCCTTTATGAAAAAGATGATGTGTAACTGATGAATATTGTTTCTGCTCTGAATCCTGTTGATATGCTGCACTTATTGGTTCTGCCCCAGCCTTATTAGGGTAGACTTCAATTTACGTCATGCCATAAATTTTGCAGGCCCTGGATATGTGGGCTGGGCTGGGCTGTAATGATGTCACGCATGGCTCTCAGCATCTATATTTTTGACGTAATGTTCACCGGTGTCCTAGTTTTGTGTGACCTCGGCATCAATCATGCTCTTTATGCTCATGCATTTTCATAGCCTCCAGCCATGATGGCCTCACAATTGTATATAAATGTGCTATAACCTATGACAAATCATTGACACAACTTGTTGTTGGATGCATTG